AAGGCGTTACGCTGTGGCAATATATGGACAGTTGAGGAAAAAGGGATACAATAACTAATATCGAATACAATGGAACGAGTTTCTGGCTGCGGATAAGTTTTGGTGAGTTGCAATCCCCCTATTGTACTAAAGAGGTTAGCGGATCCTCCACTGCAGGGTCCAATCGCCGCAGCTGTTTAGCGAGTCCCGTAGAAATTTTGTATCGCCGCATGGAATCAGGTTCATTCATTGCCTTTCTACCTCGTATACCTTCTCCATTACCAACAATCTACCTGCATTCCTTCTTTCCCCCCTCTTTTCCCCTTACTTCTTGTGGAGGATTGCCGTTATCGTTTTCCCAGTTCCACTTTACCCTCACATTCTCTGCCATCATGTATGGCGCGGCGAGGCATGGGCGACATGTTCTGAGAGCAATTCGGACCCTACCATCCCTCTCGATATCCTCCGCGCGGACACAGTTTGTTCCTCCTATCTCGAGCACTATATCCGGTAGATCCCTCGGTGTCAGACATTTCTCCTGGGCATTCCCCCGCCGACAACAGGCCCTCGCTGAAGACCATGCACGTGCGGAAGATTTTGGCGCAGAGGATATATCGGAGGTCAATCGAGAATTCACAAAATTTTCAGAGCTTGGAGATTCAGGCGTCATTGATAGGAGAATCATTGACACCCTGGTCAACAAGATGAATATCCACACAATGACGGAAGTCCAGAGAATGACCATCAACGAGTGTCTAGATGGCACAGATGTCATTGCCCAAGCTCGAACCGGCACCGGCAAGACCTTGGCGTTCCTGATGCCCATTGTGCAACGTATGCTTCGGGATCCTGAGTTTGGCCGTCGACAACCGTCAATCGGAGACACCAGGGCCCTGATTATCTCCCCCACCCGCGAGTTGGCCGAGCAGATTGGAGAGGAGGCAAAGAAGATCGTCCGAGGCACTGGCGTCCAGGTGCAATTGGCCGTCGGTGGTACCCAGAAACAATATCATCTTAAGCTTATGCAGCGATCGGGTTGCCATATTCTTGTTGGTACACCGGGAAGAGTCAAGGATCTCTTGTCCGACCCCTATAACGGACTCAACCTGGAAAACATTCAAACCTTTGTGTTAGATGAGGCCGATCGACTTCTCGATATTGGATTTGCCGAAGAAATCAGAGAGATCCAGAGTTTCATGCCTAAACACACGCGCCAACATCGTCAGACGCTCATGTTCTCTGCCACCATGCCCCGATCCGTGGTTGGCCTGGTGAGAGAGACCATGAAGCCAGACTTCAAATTCGTCAGGACTGTTGACCCTGAGGACGCTGCCACACACGAGTCCGTACCACAACACATTGTCTTTCTGCCAGGCCTGCAGAATCAGATACCAGCATTAACTGAGATCGCATGGAACGCTATGGAGGCTCATAGGAGAGACCCAGAAAACAACATGCCTTTCAAAGCAATTGCTTTCTTCAGGTCGTTGAATGAGGTCAAAATTGCATACGAAACCATGAAAAATCTGCGCGACCCATCAACCAAAGGAGGCATGTTTGCTCCTCACCCCCTCGCCCCCTGCAAGATCATCGAAATGTCCTCCCAATTAGATCAGCGGCAACGAAGTGCAAACTCGCAAGCATTCCGGAATGCCGACTGCGCACTGATGATCTCGTCCGATGTCACTGCTCGGGGGATGGACTTCCCCAACGTGTCGCATGTCATCCAAGTGGGCGCACCTCATAGAAGAGAAGACTATGTCCACCGCCTGGGCCGAACTGGCCGTGCTGGCAAGCCGGGCCAAGGATGGCTGCTCCTGCAAAATGATGAGCGGAACGATTATAGACAGCTAGCCAACAGCATCCACGCCCACAATATCTACGAAGATACGAGCCTGGACACGGCCAAATTGGACATGACTCAACCCACGCAACTTTCACCACAAACTGCCAAGATCATGCAGATGGTGGAGGCTGGCGTCAGGCAAGTTTCCAGGCTTGATAAGGCAAAGGCATACCAGAGCTTGTTGTCTGTGCTCAACCAGTCTGGAAATTCCTCGAGACAAGAGATTGTCAACCAAGTGAACGAACTTGCGACGTACGGATGGGGCCTTGACTCGCCGCCTTCTGTGACCAGAAGCTGGGCTGACAAGATAGGATATGGTGGTGTCCAAGGCCTTACGTTCCGAGAGGAAAGCGGACATGGCCCTGGATTTAGTTCTGGTCCGAGATCGCGGCCTGGAGGTCGTCGCGACAGGTATGACGAACGCGATCCATTCGGACAAGGTGCCTCCGGCGCTGGCAGGGGCACGTTCGGTCAGGATAACTCATCATTCAACGACCGTGGTCGTGGCAGATTTGGTGGTGAACGAAGGTTCCGGTGAAAGATCTCTCGGGCTGTAGCCGACAGACTTATGTCCCTGGAGGCACTGTTGAGGCAGTGAGTGTCTGACGCCTATCAACCCCGGTTTTGCCGGTCGAAAGAAGCCCATCTGAGAATGGACCACTTTGTCTAAGAGTTTGTGCCATGTCTAGCTACGCCATGACCGATGATGGAACTGCGAAAAGCGGCGACTTTCAAGCACCTGCCCAGCCCCAATTCTTACGAAGCTCAGAACAGACCACCAGTTATTCATTTCACGTGTGTTAATCATCAACAATTGCATGGATATGGCGTTCTAGTGGCCTTGAAAAGGTGGTGTTTGGGTTATGGGATGAGAGGAGACAAACAACCTTGATCGGATTTCATGACTACGATCGCGCATCTCGATTGCCTGCAACATACTTGAAAGAACTCACCTCCCGATAGCGAACTTGTTAAAGTGACCACTCATACGAATATCCATTCTGACCCAATCTCACGATCTGGCAAACAGAAACTTCGCAGGCAGTACAGCGCTCTCGTGGACCTCCGGCTTTTACACTTTTTACTGAATATACACGGCATGCACGGCTGAGATTTTCTTGTACATGTACATAGACTGATGGATACCCCCTCATTTCCTCTTTTCTTCTTTGCAGTGTGTATCATTACGCGTGTTTTTGACTTGTCGGCCGTGTCGCTTTTCTCGTTCGTCGTGGTGGTGGTGGTGCAATCCGGGACCAGCGAACGAGATGGATTGAGGGAGAGAGACATTAAAGAAAGAGGGAGAGGGATTCTGCCGACGAATGGAAAAAGCACCACCTTCAACCAAACCGAACTAACCAACCGAAGAAAACGTGGAAAAGCGAGGGAGTTGCATGGGATTTGTGCAAATATCAGTCACGAAAAATGATAGAGAAATGGAAAGGAAAGGAGCAGGGAGTGCAAAAGGAAAGGAAATCTCCTCTTCGCAACACTACATTGTAGAAAAGAAATGAAATGAAAAAGGCAACTGAAAATGTCTGACTTGGCTTTTACTTGATTCTGTCTGTGGTTCTGGCCTGACCTGATCAGTCTCAGCAAGACCATCCGTCTTTGCTGCTATCTTTTTTTTTTTTTTGTACTTTGTACAAATGTCCATTTCTGGGCTCTGGCGAGCTCAATGATCCAGCTCCGCCGTACCTCCCTATCACCCTCGCCGTATGAGGCATAGTGGAGAAGAAGAGGCTGGAAGGGAAACTAAGTTGAGTAACGGTGCACGTGCTCATATGTGTGAGGAGGTCCTAGTTCCCGTTCTAGTGTGAACTGCGCCACTGCTGCAACTCCTGCTCGCTGATCTCGCGCAGCTCGTTGACGTTGGCCACTTCGCCCGTGACGGCGCCCTTGACCATCTCGACGCCCCTGCCGAGCATGGTCCCCTTGGGGAGCGCGTACGTCGCCGTGAGGGCCTTGACCTTGATGATGCCGATGCGGGGGTCGTTTTCGCTGCCGTCGTGCTGGCCGTCGCCCAGGTCGCCGATCCAGGTCTTTAGCGTGGGTGTGTAGTACTTCTTCACAGTGGCGCGGTCCGTGATGATGCTGGCCGTGCCGGAGATCGAGGCCCAGCTGCCGGATGAATTCAGGAAGGACATGTTGACGTGCTCGTCCGACGAGAGGTCCGATGTCTTGCCGGACTCGGTGTTTGTGTGGAAGAGGAGATCGACTCCGCCGGATTCCTGTCCCATGGTCCCATGGTGGTCAGTAATATGCTTTTGCTTCTCTTCTGCGTTCAATCTTTCATCCGCTCGCGCTGGATTCATGGGGAGGGTGTCCAGAGGAAGGCTGGTGGCGAGGATCTCGGACATGTGACACACCTGAGCTGCGAGGGCCATGCACCTCGAGACTAACAGGCCAGAGTCCGCAATGCGCGTGGTCATCATGCCAAACTTGGAAGATCTGACAAAGTCGTTGAGGGCATCGATCTTCTCCTCGAGGCCTGGCTCGTCTTTGTTCTTGGCCGTGTACCTGTGTTTTGCCCGGGAGATGAGTCAGTTCTTTGCCTCGCCTCTTGAAAACGTCAAGTGGTCATGATGAAGGGAATGAGGGAGGAGGATGGAGGATCCTTCAGTCGCCCACTGAGCTGAGCTGAGCTGTGGAGCAGGAGAGGAGTGGGCAGGGACATACGGATCGGCAGCCATGTTGTATGGAAGGATGCGGTCGTTGATGTTGGTAAGTCAAAGTTGGAGGTCTGAGGGGATCTGAGAATGAATCGTGAGTAAACAGAAAATGAAGTAACCACAAAGGCAGAGAGGCACTGAAATACCTACTAGAGAACAGATAACTCCACCAACTCAACCGAGGAGAAGTGACGTCGATGATGGTAAGGCAAGAGACGGGCACCGCATTCACGTCTAACCATTGGAGATCTGAAAGGCAGAGAGGGTTTGTCACTGATCGCGATGTGGGGTTTCCACGAGACACGGGATGCTCGATCAGAAGAGAAAATGCGGGCGCATGATGATCGAGGACAATGTATGCGTCACTCGTGGATTGCGATGTCGGTGATGCTGCCAAGCAGTTTTGACAGTTTCTCTTGTTTTGGTCATTGAAAAAGCTGCAATTCTACATAGCGCAACCCTGTAAAATTGAGGGTTCGCCTATAGGTTGTTGGGTACGTCTCTCATAGAGTGGTAATTGGTATTTGCAAAGGTTCTGTCGTGTTGTTCGGCGAGGCTGTATCGATCCATGATGGATCCAACATCCAGCCAATGACGTCAGGATATTCAGGTTCGATGTTCTCATGAGCCGCAGCAGGCGGCGCTGCTTGTTCGGCAAGGCTACGGTCCACAATCCTCGTGCCCGAGACATTGTCACACGAGACTTTAACTGCCAAGAGGACATTAGTCTGGAGTTTGATGTTTGATGACGCGGTCGGGGTACTTGCAGGAGTCCTGACCGCAGTCAAATAGCCTAGTCGTTGGTTTCGGGGATCCCCTGCCGCGTAGGAGACATCTATACCTTGGATAGCGATGTACCCAACGCAAATGAGTGATTCGTGTGGTCGACTTTTGTCGTGCTTCATGCTGCGAGTTCGTATCCTCTCATTCTTTTTAAGGACTTGGTGAAGGAAAACACACTCCAGCCGTGTGATTGTGGACAAGCGGGCACCCGCTCCATCAAACAGGATTCCTTTCGATGGAGCCCAACTCAGATGCTGTAGCAAAGACGGCGCCGAATCGTTGCTGATAGCTTTGTCCGCTTGTACATTTTTGATTCGGAGAAGGACTGGTGACAGTGCGGTCGAGGTGGACGCACTCAATACAGGTCGAGTGGCCGTTGAGGAGACCGTTCCTCATTGTGACCATCATGCGGAATATGATCTGCCATGAAATAGCATTCGATGCATGGCTTCATGCCGTTCAGGTCAAGAGATGATTCCCAGCCGTCCCTCCCACTCATCCTCCTTTTTGACGCCCTTGTCTTCCTTGGCCGCCCTCCTCTTTTCATTCCTCTTTCTTCTCTTCTCCTCTCGCTCTGCCGCGTCAATTTCTTCAGCCTTTTTGATCCTCGCCTGAATGTCGAGCTCGCCCAACATTTTCGCCTCTTCTTCCTGCTGCCTCTTTCGCGCCTTGAGCATTTCCAACCTCTCCCTAACATCTTGGAGCGTCGCTCGTTTCACCTGTCCCGACTGCCCCGTGTTGATCAGGTGCTGCTTCGAATTCAGATGTTCAATGTACTGGACGTTGTCCTTGTATGTCAAATCACAGGCTTCGCAGTAAAATCCTGCACCTTTTCCCCGCCTCCCGACTCCCGCGCCTGCAGGTACAATCGTGCTCTTTCCGACCATGCTCGCCACGTCCAACCTCGAACCACGCGCAGTCGTGGACTCCAGGGAGGAGAAATCCACGGGCTTGTGCCATTTCTTGCCCTCGAGTTTGGCTTCATAGCGCGCTTTGGCTTCTTCCCGACGTTCTTCTTGTTCCTTTTTCGCCTTTGCTTCGTATTCGCTGCGATCCCAGGTGCGGCGGAAGTCGGTGTCGGAGGCGGCAGCGGTGCCGTAAGCGGATTTTCGGTCTGCCATGATAAAGCTCCCTCGGGTATGTCAAGGGGATGCTCTAAAGGAGTGTAGGTGTATCGAGGGTGCGTGAAGAGGGAGTGTCGAAGGCCAGACAAAAGGAAGATGCGGAGAAACACGATATGCGAAATTTACGGCTGTGGTTGGGGCGATCGGAAGACATTCCCGTGCGGAGGGCGTTGAAATCACCTATTAATTACAAATAGCTTGCCTAGCACCTTAGTTATTGTTGACGTCCATCTACGATAAGCATGAACATGAATCGAACAGTATTCATCGAAAGAGCCATCGATCTTGATGCAAATCTATTTCGCTTTGCCGGCCGAGACTGCGCAATCAGAAAATCCACTGTAATGTCTAGTCAACGCCAGTTTCGAGCTCATGTCACCAGCTATGTACCCCTAGCAAAAGGACCTATTGATCCAGTGCTTCGAGGTTGTATGCATTTTCGCTTCCTTTGCCCGTTGAAAGATTTCCAAGTTGTACTCAAAACTTTGCTTCTGTGTCTTCACTGCCTTTGGTCGTGTCTATCCTTGCTGGTGGGACATCAACCACAATAGATGTACTGCAAATTGAGCTGCTTCAACGGGTCCGCAGTGTTGGTGACGGTGTATCCAATCTTAACCGGCATGTTCATATCCGTCTCTGGACTGTCGTTGATGTTCAAGACCTGCAACTGAGCCAAGAATGTGTTCTGAGTGCTCGGGAAATCTGACCCTCCTTTGACGATGAACTTGATGTCGCGGTACCCGTACCCCTCAGGGACTATCGGTGTGGGTGTGTCAGGACAGAGGTAAACAAAGTTGACATCCTTGCTGATGGTCTGAGGAACGGACGAGGACGGCAAGGTGACATAGTTGTACAAGGCGTTGCAGGAGGTGCTGGTATCGCCGATGGAGCCACGAGACTTGACATTGATGTTGACTTCCCAGGTCATTCCGCACGGAGGACCGGCGGCGTTAGGACTGATGTTGAAGGTGAGAGGATCGGCGAGTGCAGCTGAGCCAGAGGTTTCGTTGCGTCTTGCCAGATCGACAATGGTCTCAACACCCAAGAGAGATGAGGGGATTGCCGTGGCATTGGCGAGAGCCAGCAAGAAAAGGAGGACCGGAAGCAAGATGAGTTCCATGTTGACGAAGTTTCGATACGGCTGAGAGCAATTGCCGTGTTGAGAAGTTGTTTGATTGCCAGCGACAGAAATGTCTATTGTGTTTATGATAAAAGATGAAACGTGGGCAAGAATCTGTGTGGTTTATATACCCTGAGAACCTATCTCTACCAACAGAAAGTAAACTTATCTTTTCAAGTGTCAGTGTGTCATTCACTGCAGATTAAGGTGACACTGAGGTACTTGACATGCTCATGATAAAATCTTCACAAATTGTCCTTTACCACGTTGGTCCAGGCCAGATGGCAACGCCCAGCCCAGTGCATAAGTGTCCCCTATCTCTCTTCGCCTGGCACTATCATCATATCCAGTCTCGTGCTGACGACAGGCTGTGATATGACCGTATGTCACAACCCTTAAAATTCTACTGTACATGCTGATGGGTATTTAAGTGGTGAAATTGTCGTGAAAGACTGCTGACTGCGTATTGGTTCAGCACTGGAATGTGACAAGGTGAGCGTAGATAGAGGTCTAAGGAAGTCATCTATCCACTAGAGATGACTTGATCTTTCGATCAAAGCGATAACTCACCATCCACTATAGTTAACCTAGGTAATGGCTTCACCATCCCGGCCTGGACGTGACAGGACCTTGGCGACGAGGTTGCCTGATTCTGCCTGGCGGCTGCCTGGCTGTCAAACTTGATCACTTGCTTTGGTTGGTTAGAAAGGATCAAACACCAAACAACAGGTCGCGACTGATGCGTGGGCCCGTCCATGTACAAATTATTTTCCTTGAACCATACACTAGAATGTGAAATGTGAAATGTGGAATGTGGATATGATCGCTTTGTTAAATGTCTCGGTCCCTGAAACAAACAGCTTTCCTGCTCATGCCGTCAAAATCCCATCTTCTCCTCTCCTCTCCCTCTATTCTGACCCGCAAGCTTCTTCTCACTTTTTCTCATTCACTCCTGGTTATTCACCAGTCCAAGGCGTGCATTGATATTGTCACTCGCAGCCATGAGCTCCGAAGATGGCTACGAGTATGGCTCCGAATATAACTCCGACGAAGAGCAAGAGCAAGAGCAACCCTACGACCCCCTGAGATCTCAAATCCGGGGTTGTCTTCGTGGAATACATAGCTCGGGGTCTTTCGCAACATCTGACCACAACGTCGAGCACATTCTTCCTGGTCTGGCCGTCAAAGGTGTCGGTCCTATCAGACTACCCTTATCTCGTGAAGATGCCAATGCTCTTATTCGAGTGAGCCGTCAAGCACCTTTTGGCAAGGGAGGGGAGACGCTGGTGGATGAGACGGTGAGGAAGACTTGGGAGATCGACGGAAAAGGGTTGTCATTCGAAAACAAAGGTTGGGATACCTGGCTTGAACAGATTCTCGAACATGTCTCCAACGGCTTGGGTATACCTGGGGGTGCTGGCAGTGTACAAGCTGAGCTTTACAAACTATTGGTGTATGAGGAGGGGGCCTTCTTCAAACCTCACAAAGAGTACGTCCCGAGTGCGAAGCCTGACAATTTACAGAGTTACTAACCTCGTGTAGTACGGAGAAGACCAAGAACATGTTTGGAACCCTGGTCGTTTGCCTACCGTCGGAGCACACTGGCGGCGCAGTGCGCTTGATTCATGGAGAAGAAGAGACAATTCTCGAGACAGACAAGTGGTCTTCTTACGGTGTCTCTTATTTGGCTTGGTAATCCCGGCACCTCATCCAACATATTCTCATGCTAATTGGTCTTTGAAGGTATAGTGATGTATCACATGAGGTAAGGGCATTACAGCGATCAGGTTTTGTATTGCAACTCATTGGAACAGATATTGCCAGTTAAATCAGGTTGTCGATTCGTTCTAACATACAACCTCATCAACGCCACTGTTCCACGTCAACTCTCAGCTGCTGTACTGGACGTTGAGCAATCCAACATCGACCGGGTGCTCACCGAATGGTATTCCATGCAAGACCAACCACAGTTCATGTGTTATGTCCTTGAACACAAGTATACCGGCGCAGGGCTTCGATTAAACTGTCTGAAAGGTGACGACTATTACCGTTGCTCTCAGCTTGAACGAGCTTGCCAGTCAAATGGTCGCTTTTGTATTTTCCTATCCCGGCTGCAACTGACTGTGAGCCGAAGCAATGACGAGGATTGCAGGGAAGAAGGGGACGAAGAGCTCTGCCTAAATAATGTTGTCACTCTACTGGGCACGAAGCTTCAAGATTCCCTGAAGATATCGGATGACTGCCTCGTCCAGCAATCTGTCTATGCAAACCGTGACCGTGACGAACAATGGGGAGGCGAACACTTGGGCAATCAGTATGCTGAAATTCTCCAAATTTACCATGATGCTGTACGTCCTGCGCCGAGTTGAAGTCGACCTAGTACTCACAATCAGTCTAGGTCGTTGTCATTGTTCGTCGAGACCAGATGACCAGGTTCCTCCTTGGTAGTGGTTATAAGCTTGAACACTACTCAAAGTTCCTTGATCGACTGTTTGTCAACCTCAAGGGTCAGAACGACGGTGAACATTCCCTCTTTCGTGAAATGATTGAACAGACATGCAACAGGCATCTTCAAATGCGGTATCGAGACAGTCGCCAGAAAGATGGTTTCTTGGGCCCCACAGCGATAGAGTTACTACGAATCGACAACCTTGAGCTAGCCAATACAGCCCTTGATGCTGTGGAGGAAAGCTTCGACAAGTCCACCTTCTGGAACCTTGCCATGCTGGGATTCGATAAAACGAAAGACTTGTAAGCTTGCCTGTAAACCGGTTTACACCCTCCACTAAGATATTCCAGTTCCACGAAAGCGTTTTCTCGGATTTCGAAACTGCACCTAGTTGATCGTGGCCTTCGAGCATTCCGCTCCGGTGTAAGATCTGGCTCTGCTGAACCTGACTCTCGAGGAAGATTAGAGAGCGCCGTTCACCAATGGGCGGTGGAAACCCTTTGCAAGGCTTTGAATTCGATCACAGAAGTTCTTCCCCAGGATGCGGGAGCTGTGGTTCAGATCATGGATACCTATGGGGATGCAAGGCTCTGGAAATGGTGAGTTCCTTGACTGAGGCCTAATGTTGTCCTTGTTAGGATGTTGGCTAACTCTCGCTCAAATAGCATGGATACCTTCCTTAGGCGCTTTGTGAACGAGACAGCCTTCGTAAGCGCGCTCTTCGTGGAGACCCTTTGCTACGCTCAAACGGCTCAAAAATCTGACGTGGTGGAACATCTTCTTTCGCCCATCTTTGATGCAGCTATGTCTTCCTTTCAGTTGCACCAATTTTCGTCATATAGGAAGTCGAGACTTCAGCATGAGGACTTCCCATTTTCGTCGTGGTCAGAGTCCTCTTGGTAAATTCGTGACGAATTAAGCAAGAAGGACGTCGCTGTCGTCGTGTCTCTTTATCGACGACTTTCAGGAGAAGATTTGTCTGAGGCGGGACAGCTACTTGAAAAGATTGCAAATGACACTGCGACAATCCAGCAAGACGACCTTGACCGCTTCATTATTCCACTCCTGCAGGATCTGGTCGACATCACCAAAATTCAGCCCCTTGAGGCTTCTCTGTTCTACGCCAAAGCTATCCCTACATATATTGAGAGGGCGGTGGAGAAGGAGCCCCCAAAACCGCATAATTGGTCCCTACCCGACGACATAGGCAAGTGTGATCGGACAAATTGTCCTCATTGCTCTGTTGTACGTGAGTTTCTGGAGAATCCAAGCGAAAAAGAGCGGTGTTTCACCATTCCCAAAGATCAGGATTCCCGTTTTGTTTGGCATTTCCCACATCACTACGATAGGAATAGAGACGAAAGTGGACAAGATCTCGCTATCAAGGTCACCAAATCTCTAAAGACATGGGAAGACAAACACAAGGAGTGGAGAAGGAGAGCGGATAACGCTCAATCGAAGCTTCAGTCCCTTCCTGAAATGCCACTACGCGAATGCCTCGGAAATACCGAGTATCAAGACTTGATGGAGCTCCGGATCGTCAAACTATCAGCCGAAGATGTGAGCCAGGGACCGCCAGACTCCGCCAAAGCAAACCCAGCTCCTGTCACACCGGGAGGCTCTGCTGGTGCTGAGACGAAGGGAAGAAAAAGACGGAGGATTTGATCATCGGCGATCTTAGGTACCTGGCTGCGATCACTTGGTCGAGATTCAGTACCAGCCTGTCACGGCCGTGCACTGAAGGTGATACTAGGGGGGATCACCTCGAGACGTTGGCGATGAAGCACCACCGACATGAACACCAGGTCACCATTTTTTACCTTTCTTCTTTTTCAAAGCTTTTTGGACTGGCAACAGCATTTGATAGTAGTCATAGCAGCTAACGGGTGCTTGGGAGCAACGCTGCGACACACTGTGTAATATTGGGTAGCCTGGCGTCACGTCAACGGACCAAGATCAAAGCCTGGTGGAAAGAAGGGAGGAATCTATTTTTTTGTAAGTGATAAAGACATAGGGGAGCATAAAACGGTGCTCTGGCGCCGAGCATGAAAAAGCTTGTGGCCTACAAAGTATGAACTCGGTGCAAGTATGCCAGGGCAGGCAAAGAGCTGGCGTAAATTTGCCCCAGCCCATTCAGAGTGAGCTCAGCGGCGTGCGTCTAGCAATTAGACAAGATGGAAGATTAGGAGTCTCCCATGTGTTGTGCCATGGTTACTTTCCAAATCAAGGTGTATAACTATTACGAGGTACGGTACCGAGATCCACTGGGAACCAGTACGAGGTAGATCGGATCCCTTGATTCGAGATGCCGAAGTGTCGCCAAGTTAAGCATCACTCGCTACTAGTAAGTCACGGGTGGTAACAATCGCACTGATAATAGGCGAGCTAAAAACCTCGCAATTGAATCTAGCGGCAGTCTCCGCAAACTCCTGCCTTGCAGGTAAGTCAGGCACTGCGGAGAAAGATCAAAAAAGGTTGGAGATTATTTTTCATTTCGCATTATCGAGACAAACTCGCCCAGTTCGTGGAATTTTCTTTCTCATTAGAGCTGTGCTAAGGGGACAAGATGGCACCGAAAACCTCACCGTTTGATCTGGCAAAGTGCGCGAGACCCAATATCCTCAAATTAAAGCCGTACAGGTGTGCGCGAGAGTGAGTTTGTCCCGGGCGCATGTCGCGGGCCATTTACTGACTCATCTGCGCAGTGACTACAAAGACGACGGTACCAACATCCTCCTCGACGCGAACGAGAATGCCTACGGTCCTGGCTTAGACCTTGAAGCGGACGGTATTCATGACAACGGAGATAAGGCGACGGTGAACTTTCTGGGTCTGAATAGATACCCTGATCCCCATCAACATGAACTGAAGGAACTGTTCTGTCGCCTCAGAAACACACATGTCCACACAGACAAACAATTGAAACCCGAGAACCTGTTCTGTGGAGTCGGGTCAGATGAAGCCGTCGACGCTTTGTTACGCTGCTTTTGTGTTCCTGGAACAGACAAGATTCTGACCTGTCCTCCCACATACGGCATGTACGCAGTTAGCGCAGACGTCAACGATATCGAGATCGTTCAAGTGCCCCTTGACCCCGAAAATGGGTTCTCGCTGCGACCCCAACAGATCTTGGACAAACTCTCCGCTGATTCCTCCATAAAGATGGTGTACATCTGCTCTCCGGGAAACCCCACCGCGAGCCTCATACCCAAGGAAGACATCCGACAAATCTTGGAGCATCCGACGTGGAACGGCATTGTCGTTGTGGACGAGGCATACATTGACTTCTCACCTGAAGGGTCAAGCCTGGCCGAATGGGTGTTGGAGTGGCCTAACCTGGTGGTGATGCAAACATTGAGCAAAGCATTTGGTCTGGCGGGGATTCGCCTAGGAGTGGTGTACAGCAGTCGCGAGATTGCTGCGCTGCTCAATAACATGAAGGCGCCATACAATATCTCAAGTCCAACCAGTGCCATTGCAATAAAGGCGTTACAAGAAGAGAATCTGGCAGTCATGCGGCGATATCGCGAGAAAATTATTCAACAACGAGACCGACTTCTTCGAGAGCTCCCACTTGTCCCAGGTATTGGCCGCTTCCGAGGAGGGACTGCTTCAAACTTCCTGCTAGTCGAGATTCTGGACAAACCGCGGGAAGAGGGTGGACAACCAGACAATGTGACAGCTTTAAATGTTTACGAGACCATGGCGGGGCAACGTGGAGTGGTGGTCCGTTTCCGTGGGAAGGAGTACGGATGCAAGGGCTGTCTGAGGATCACGGTGGGGACTGAGCAGGAAGTAGATCGTTTCCTGAAGGAAATCAGATCTGTCTTGGGTCACATTTATTCGGCTTCATCACGAGGCTCGAACGTCAATGGAATCGACAAGGAAAATCAGAATGAGGGGGAACGCGAGGCGGCTGCCAACAGTGTGATATCATAAGGCTCACGGCTTTCTTCCTAGCGGGTGCTTAGGGGCCATCTACTAGTTGGAGCTCACGGGTTGGCGGTGCCTAGAATGAGTGGAGGCCGCTTAGACTTTTCTTTTTGGCAGATCCCATGGTTAGAGGGCTCCAGGAGCGGAAAGGGCCTATTCTCCCAATAGCGTTGCCTAAAGTTTTACGGCTATGCCCAAAACCGATAGAAAGAAACAACACCTGTTTCTCCCTTATCCTGTTACATTCTGCCAACACATCGCTCTGGACTCCTACACTGCCGTCCAATCCAGCACCACACCGCTTCGCCTCTCTCTCTTTTTCTCACGTTCTCACTGGCACGTCTGCCCTGATTTCTCTTGCAGCCTGGCACACGAGGTATTGCGCAGGAACGCGGAACCACCCTCCAAATCTGTCGCTCCAAACTTCCCTGCCTTGCGTATGCCTCGCGGTAGGCCACACCCTGCTCGCAATTCTGATGCCCTATGCTAGTGACTGAGCGAGTGATGGACATGCTATGAAGGGATATAGCCACCGCAGCCACCTGCCTGCCGCATCCTGCACCTTGATCTCATCATCCGCCCTGCATCTACGTGTAATCATCTCTTGTCCCTCAGTTTCGAGCCTCCGAATCGCTGTCCTCCCCTCTCGATAAACGCTCATTTGTCCTACCCTTGTCAGCCTCCGGCCTGCGGCTGTGTTGTCAATAAGTCTGGTCAATTCACTTCTCGGTTACTCCGCCTTCACTTTGCCAAGTCGAACTCGAGAGGCTACTCAGACACCAGCGACCCTTCTTTTCGCGGAACAATGTTGAATGAGTTGAAGAGAAGGCAATTGATCGTCGCATTACACTGTTGAGGGACTGTCGCCCAAAGGGTATTGTTACATCATGGTCAAGGCGGATGTCAAACGGGACTACTATGCGGATTTGGATCTTCCTCCTACCGCCGATGCAGAGGAGATCAAAAAACAATTTAGACTTCTGGGTAAGAGAACAGAGCGGCACATACACCTGAGCTGAACTCACAGCGTTACAGCGAAACAATACCACCCGGATCGAAACCCTGGTCATGAAGTCGAGGTCGTCCCTAGGTTCCAAGCTGTCCAAGCCGCTCATGAAATTCTCAGCGATCCTGTAGAGAAGGCCAAGTATGATGCTGGTCGGGCAAAACTGGCTGCTAAGGCCGCTGCGACCGCTTCAACAGCATATTCCTCCGATCCCTACGGCTTTTCAAGACCGAACAACGCCAAATCGACCCCTACCACAAAACAGCAATTCCCTTTTCCACCGCCTCCCAAGCCGGCGCAAAATCGTGCCCCGTTTGCGACGGTAAATCCGAAGCAGCAAGCCTCTTCTGGTGCCGATAAGTTCAATGCATTCACCCGCGGAGTACCACAATCATGGGACCGTTCGAAGTACGATGAGGCTCGAGCAGAGGCCGCAAGAGTTTTCCCCACCATGAGGCCCACGTCGTCTGCCCAACAAATGCCACCGCGGTCGGTACCCAGACAAGCCCCTACTGCTCCCAAACCACCTTCCAGCTCAGATATGCCATACGCGCCCAATGTACCGCCCACGGGTTTTCCAGGCTTGTCGAGGACGGCAAGTTCCAGAAAACCAGACTATCACGGGGCAGACACTTCGCAGTTTCCTCGTTCGGCGTTTTCTTACGTCCAAGGAACGCGCGGACAGCCGCCGCCTCCTAACCCACATATCCACGTCCAAGACAACCATTCCATGCGTTCGCCGCCTGTTTCTAGAGCCAGGCCCGCGGTGAGTCCTCTGCGGCATACGCGATCCTCCGATTATGACATGAGACACGATCTCGGAGGTCGTCCACCCTCAAGATATGCAGGAGGAGGCGGGGAGCGAACAGACATCAATGGAGACGGTCTACATCGTTCGTCGAGCGTCCGCAACTCACCCATTGATGATCGAGGACCGTTTGGCAGGTCCTCGACTCGCTATGAGAGTATTCCACGTCATCGGAGTGCCAGCCCTGGGATGCGAAAAGCAGGGATACATGCAGATTTCTCAGAGACCTCTTCAAGTGACGAAGAAACGCTGCATACGAATTCGAGGCCGAAAGCTGTGCCCCGGAGCAGACCAACCGCCCGCACAGGACCGAGTTATGATGCTGACAACAACCCGGGCTTGACGGGCCAATTCCCCAGTACTAACTATACTAGAATTGTCGATGACAGTCGGTATCAGTACCCCCCTCCCGAACCGAAAGAATCGAGCCGCAAACCCTTCCCAGGCGTGACAACCCCAGAGGACGAGGGACCCAAGCCTAATGTGTGTCATAGTGGCGGAGGAGGTTCGGAAAACCCCAAGTATGCTCCCTTTTTCTTGGATTCCCAAACCTGGTCCCGAGGAAATAGACGTGATTGTTTTGCCCAAAGAGGGCGTTCCTTCAACGGATTTCCTTCCTGGGCAGTCCCCTCGAGTGTTTTCCCGCAGACCACGCCTCCTCGGCCTCATAGGCAGAACGGTGACACGCCTGGGGCAGGAGGTGGTCTTGAATCTGTTCAGTCGTGGAGCAAGAGCGCTAACCCAAGCGTCAGTAATGACTCCGCCCACCCCAAGGTCCAGACGACATTCTCAGCGGCGGAATGGCATGATAAGGTGACGGCCGAGGACATCTTCCGTCCAGATGAGTCCCAGACACGCAAGTCCCCTTCGAAACTCAACCGAACCGGGAGTAAACCAACGTCACGAGGAAGAGCACAATCACGGTCTGCAGAGCACGATCCTGCTTCTTCGTCTGAGGTTCCCAACGGTCATACAGAAGACAAGTCGACCGCATTCCAACCTGGAAAGTTGGCTGACGACTGGGCTGCTAAAGCCTCGGCAAGACCAGCTCCTTCTCGCAATCCAAGAGCAAGCCCCGCTTCTGACACCACTGACGATTCTAGAGATCGCTACGTCGTGGTGGAGGAAGACGCAATGGACGTCGACACCCCGCCAACTAACAATACCAAGGTCCCTGCCTCAAATGGAGTCAAATATCCAGCGAGTGGGGAACCGCCCCGCCCCGAACCGAAACGTCGGTCAACAAATGGAGGGGTGGATCTCAAGGAATTTGCTCAACAAGCTCCATTTGCGCCAACGTCGGCCGGGCTCAAAGGCATGAAAGATGACCTTGAAACATTCCTCCCGTTTGAGTCTCGAGCGTCTAACGATGTCAACCTCAATCGTGCAGCGTCCGCACGGATCCGGGCTCTGAATCTGCCCAAACCACCGAAAGTCGTGGTTCCGCCGGCTGCGGATCGATTGGACAAGATCAATTTTGCGCAGTATGTGTCAAATATGGAGAACTACATGCGCGAGTGGAATTTGTTCAATGCAAGGATGCTAGAGCATTTCCGATCCCGGCAGGATCGCGTTTGTGGCACGATGAGCCCACACTGGATTGCGCAGCCCAGTGACGGACCAGATGCAGATGCATTGGATAAAGACGGTGCTAGTGACAAACTGGCAGGATATGGCGCGTATATTCAATGGCTCAAAGACGATGCTCAGTGTCGGCATTGGTGGGAAGAGGCAAACGAAAGGCACCTGGAATGTATGGAAGACCTGGGTAAAATCAGGCAGGTTGCGAAGCAAAAGTTGCGGCCTTGATGAATATGGCACGGCTTCATAGATTTGCTACGGTACTTTGGAGAAGGAATATGCCATGAGATAAAAGGACCTTGACTCGACCAGCTGAGGCCACAAGGTGCAATTTGGAGGCAGGAACTGGGCGCAGTGTGGATGAGATACCCTTTTTGTCCTTGTTGCGCGGTTGTTGGCATCGACCGTGAGATGCATGAGCATCCTTCTGAATACATGTAGTTTTCAGGAGATTCTGGACATGGATGTACAAGTAGTTAGCATACGTGTGAGACAGCTGAATGTGACTGTGGCCAGCAGGCACAGGCATGCCTCAATACTCAATAGTCGCGACAGTAGAGTCTAAGAGTACGGAGAAGTACGATCATAAGCTTCACCAAGCATCTACTAAGCCCGCCAAGCTTTGGTTGCCGACTCGGGAAGTCGCCTTGTCAGATGCTTATCTAGTCTCAGCTTAATGCTTGGGGCTAAACCCCTTCACCAACGATTTACCCATGTCTCAACCTATCGTGCACTTCAATTGGCGCACCTCCTTGGATTGAAGCTTCCTAGACAATCGCCAGACCACTGCATCCAATGACTGGGTAAACGTTGATTGCTCCGACCAGGCCACGCAATCCCGCTTCGCGTAATGGGTCCAAAAACTTGGAATTGTGCCAGGAGTTTAAAATGACAGCTCAGCTTCCAGTTCAGCTTGAGCTCCTTTTTTTCCTTTTTGTCTCTCGTCCTTGTACAGGGAGATCTCGATATCTAACTCTACAGAACTCTGCTTCTCACAGAAACACTCGCTCCTCTCGACGGACTATCGGAATCTCACGCAGACTCACACTCAGCACGATGGACGCCGAAAACCAGCAACAGAAAAGCCAGGCTCCTCAAACCCAATCGGAGCCTGAAAGTGCCATCTCTCAGCAACCTGTGAGTTTGCTCCATTTGTCTGCGATGCACCACACTTCCACTTATGCCCCCATTGTCATACTACTGCTGTTGTAGCTTCGAAAAGACGTCGAATTACCTGATAATGTGCTGAACTCCCTCTTTCACAGGCTGCCCGTGAATCAATGGATGCCAGCGGCGTCAGCAACCGAGTCGGTCTCCGAGGCGGTGGTGAAGGCGAGGACATTTGCTGTGGTTTGTATGTCTTAGCTGCTCTTCAGTCTCTATCCGACAACTCCAAAGCCTGGACAATTGGCCACTGACGCGGTTCATACAGGTGCGCCGGATTTTTGTGCTTCGAATGCTGCAAGGATTGCTGCTAGAGGGGGTCACAACACCACAGAAGCAGTCGGACTGCGGACCAATGCGTGTCTACGAGCGCGATGAGTACACGGGAGACTGATACCCTATAAGTCCATCCAGCAAAGACGGTTTTGCGTCTGGGGAGTCGCAACCAATATACACCTTCAAATCCATTTGAGATCTTTTATGTGAATGTCCACTACGTGGTTACTGGAGATGGGTGATCTTCGGACTCCATGTCTACTTTCCACTGTTGTGCTTCGTCAGTTTCCCTCTCTCGACCGTGAATGCCAATCCCCTTTCCGTTCGATACTAACATGGTTTCGTTCAGGAGGTACGGAGCAGGTTGGGGTTCTTGGACTCTAGCTGATCCGGGTCATAGATGGTGCTTGCAATTTGCGCAGTACATGGAGCAAACTCGCCAAAGCAACGACAGGCTGATCCGGCTGCTTTTGTCGCGCGGGGTGAACACACAGATCAGGAATGCTCTTGGCGGGGTGCTTGCTGCGGGTGAAGCGGCTGGTGTCTGATGCCAACCTGTGTCTTAGAGGGTATGGCCTGACACACTTTGTTGGGTTATTCGCTGTCGAGTGTCTGCCTGCACGGATAATTCGTACAGTGCCACATGCCTGTTCACTCTTTCAGTCTCCTCGACAGATCAATATTACTGGGTTTCCACGACGCCGTCAAAACGTCGACACCTACAGAGCTGCCACCGAGTAAACCTGACCGTGACACAACTGAGGGAGGCTATGGCTGCTAAGGTCCATCATATACATAAACTCACATTTAGCACCTCCGATTTTCACTGGGATCACATGGAAAATGGCTGCATCTCAGGCTCCCCACTTCACGACGAGAGGGTTTCCAAATACCAAGTTTGGAGATCAAATGTAGGAAAAGTCGTATTGGGGATCGAATACTCTCTCAAAACTCTTTGGTGTGGTGGCAGGACTTGTACAGCCACTACTAGGAAGCATTTGGGTGACGAGACAGGTTTTGGCCCCATTATTCGCGAGAAGGAACAAAGTAAATTTGTGTATGAATGTGGTCTTTGTGGTCACGCGCTCACGCAGAACTAGTCATTGATTCTCTCGACACATTCAGGGAGATGGTCACAAGATAGATGAAACCCAGATAGGCAATTTGATGGATGGGAAATAAACAGCTGACCTGAACTGACCTGCCTCAACTCAACTCAACTCAACTACCTTGACCGCCATCTCAGCGGTGCCAACCAAACGAGTACAGCCACATCGCCATCGCTATTGCTATCGCCAACACCATCACCCACAGTCTCCTCTCGGAAAATGACTCCCCCATCAGCCTGGCCGGCCATGAACCCCGTCGTCGACGCCTTCTGCCACTGGATCGGCCTGGACTATTTCTACGAGTGGCAGCGATGGGGGAACCTGGGCCATTTTTTATCCGTCTGTCGCCTCGTCGACACAAACGGCGTCAGGCAGCTGCACTGGAACATCAACACGTGGACCGACGACGAGGTCCTGGCGTGGAAGCAGTCGTACATGACGACGTGTTCGTCGATTGAGGTTGCTGTGAGCCTGCGCCCCCTCGTCTTCTCTCTCTCTCTCTCTCTCTCTCTCTCTCTCTCTCTCCTTCTCCCTACTTCTTGGGGGGAAGTGGTAAACAAAAAATACTCGATACCTATACATGAATTTGGAGGGCTTCATTCATTCGCTCACTGATGTTGTTGCTATGTAACAGGGCGCCATCTTCGCCAGCGTCGGCCTGACTGCCCTGCAACTCCCCAACATGGACTCGACGCACTGGAGCGCGCGGGCGCTGCTGACATGCTCGATGATCCTCGGGGTGCTGTCGGTCGTCTTCGCCGCATCGCAGCAATCCGACATGGGCATGCTCAACAAGCCGCTCGACATCCGGCTGTTCCTCAGCCGGGGCAAGGCCGTGCCGACGCAACGCGGATACCGCTACCGCAAACCGTTCGCGTTGCTGCCGCTCGAAAGCTCCGTCGCCGCGCTCAAGCAGTTCGACCTGCCCAAGGTGGTCCTCAACCTGGCCGTGCTGCTGTACATCATCGGGGTGGGCGTCTACCTGCTCTACGCGTGGCTGTACCGGGTCGAGCCGGCGGGCGGGCGCGACGACTTCCGGAACGTCTTCATCGCCTTCGCCGCCACCGTGGGTGTCGTGTACCTGTACGTCGCCGTCGTCGGCGCCCTCGCCTACGCCGACAACCGCAAGCGCACCGAGGACTTTGACCTCGACCGCACCACCACCTTTGCGAAACCGGCCTCCCAGGTCCAGCTGGAGGAGTGGCTCCGCGCCCTGCAGGACATGCAGAGCACCACCCTCGAGTCCGCAAACGTCTACATCCGCCTGCAGACCGCCGTCGACGACCTCAAGGCCAAGTGGGACGCGGACAGGGACGACTTCGAGCACCGTAAAAAGGTAATGCGCACCGCGCAGAAGAACAGCAGGAAGCGGCATGCGAGAGACGCGCCAGCAGCAGCACATCGTGCATGAACCTGAACCTGAACCAGACCGGACCGATCCGATCCGGACCAGAACGAAAGATAAAGCGATTAGATGGCTGGCAATGTTCTTCGTTTGCGTCAAAGTTCAGGGTTCATATCTCGATCACAGTCTTTGGTGGTTACAGTCGTAGTAGTGATCCGATGCTAGATTCTCAGTATATATTCCATGTCAAATACTAGTAGTAGTGCGTTTGTTGGACTCTCTATGGTCTTCTACTCTACCTCTTAAGATCAATTCGAACTTGGTGGGCGGTTAGAAGCTTCCACTCGCCCCCTCATCCCATTGCAACCACAACCTCCCACGGCCGCAGCAACATTGCCCAACTCCTATCCTGTCCACTGTCTCTTCGTATCTCATTGGCGCTCTCCCCATTGCGCGTGTAATTGCGGAACTCGTCCAGAATGGCACCTCTCTTCAGCCCGGCTTCATCAAACAAGACTGGTGCTGCCTTGGCCGGCGGACTCCACCATATCTCCTGGCCCGAGAAGTTCGTTACGACGAGGCACTTCCTGGCCTTTTCGACACTCGCGGCCGATGAGTCCGGATGGTCGGCTTTTGCGGAATCTTCTGTCCTCAGATAGGCGACCACGGTGACAAACTCGTTGTCCAAGTCCAGCATCTCGAAATCGCCGTACACAAACACGTCCTTGTACCGCTTGCGGAGCTGGAGCACGCGCTGCCAGTAATGGAATGCGCTGTCGTGGTCGGCAAGCTGCGCCTCGGCATTCCACTCCCTAAAGTCCGGGTGGATGGACATCCAGGGTTTTACATCCTTGGAAGCCCCATCAGGCAGGAAACCAGCGTAGGTGTCTGCATCGGATGTCCATTGCATTGGCGTCCTGGCATTGTCACGCCCAATGAGCCGATACTGTCTCCTATAGGCGGCTTGTTTCTCTTTGTCGTGGGGAAAGTCCCTCAGCACCGTCTTCCAGTGATTGAGTTCCTCGATGTCCTTGTACTCGTCCATACCCCAGCTCTCGGGCACATTGATCTGGGCCATTTCTTGGCCTTGGTACACAAAGATGGTGCCAGACAGAAGACCCATGTGTGCAGCCAGCAACTTGGCTGACTTGGTCCGGTAGGCATCGCTGTCGTCGCAATACCGGGAAACAGTCCGTCCTTGGTCGTGGTTCTCCATAAACACGGCGTTCCATCCTGCGTTCTGGAGCATAAATGACTGCCACTTGGACACGATGTGCTTCAAGTTCCGCGGATCAAAGTCCTGATGATCCCACTTGATCCCGCCGGGTTTGACGTCCATGCCCACTATGTCGAATTGGAATACCATTGCGAGCTCGCCGCGATCTTGTCCCACAGCCTTGAGGATCTCCTTGGTGTCCTCCACCCCGGGCATCTCACCCACCGAGAATGCGTCATACTCTCTGAGAATCGCCCCGATCTCGCGCAAGTACTCATGCAACCGTGGACCGCACGCAAAATACTTGGTACCAGACTGCAAGAAACCAGGCCGTGTAATCTCTCCGTCCGGCAAGCCAGGCTCTTTAGAGATGAAGTTGATGACGTCCATCCTGAAGCCGTCCACACCACGATCTAGCCAGAATCGCATCATGGAATGAACAGCGTCTCTGACCGCCGAATTCTCCCAGTTCAAGTCGGGCTGCGCACTTGCGAAAAGGTGGAGGTAGTATTCGTCCGTGGCTTCGTCGTAGGTCCAGGTAGAGCCAGAGAAGGCGGATTCCCAGTTGTTGGGTGGAATGCGATTGCCGTCGTCGTCGTAGCGTGGCGGCCGCCAAATGTACCAATCGCGATACGGGTTATCTTTGGAGGAACGCGATTGCTTGAACCACTCGTGCTGATCAGACGTGTGATTGACCACTAGATCCATCACGTATCTGATGCCACGGTCGTGTAGCCCTTTGATGAGCTCATCATGGTCTTCCATCGTGCCGTATCCCGGATAAATGGCATGGTAGTCAGAGATGTCATATCCCATGTCCACTTGTGGAGACTGCAAGATAGGACTGAGCCACACAATATCCACCCCAAGACTAGCGATGTAGTCCAGCTTTGAGATGATGCCGCGAAGATCGCCTTTTACAGTGCCCGAGGCCTTGTCCACGGTGCAGTTGGCTGATTTGAAAGATGCCGGATAGATCTGATAGACCGAGGATTCCTTCCACCAGGCACGACGGAGAGGGGGCTTCTCAGCTGAAGCAACCTGTGATGTATCGGCCATTGTGACCCGTGCGCGATCGATAGCCCTGTCGTGAAAACCGTACTGGTCTGTAACCGTTACCCTACACCTTGCTCTGAACGATTGGAGATGACTTTGAGGGGAAATACGTGGCGACCGACTGCGCTGCTGCCGGCCGTTTAAATGTCACAGATTCTTAAGAAGAAAACAAGTCTCTGAGATTAGTTAGTATATACCTCTATTGGAGGCGGTCAGATTCGAGTGCGAAGAAGGCTTTGTCAGAGGCGGCGAGATTTCCTAGATGGTGATCACTTCCTCTGTTACATGCATACAGACACATTGGCAAATTGAGTTGGCACTGCGACAGTGACAGAGGTTAAGAATGGCACGTCATGTCACAGCAGTCATGAATCAGAATGTTGGTTGGCATTGCAACCATGCCGAAGCCTCACCACGCCATGCATGCGGGAATCTCCCCTGCAGCCGAAAGTTTCTCCGAGATCGAATCAATGTGCGATGCTGCCGGTTTAGTTGGATGATGATGCAGTCAAGATATTCTCATTTCGTGATGGGTAACGGATCGATTGCCATCTGAGACGTAGTGTTGAAGCGAGGAAAGGAATAAATTGGTGGGAGTGTGGTAAGTAGCAGATGCGCAGGCGCAGTCACAGGCGCAGGTGGGGGAGGGAGACACACACCACGTCACCACTACTGCATACACATCATTCACTCTCACTTTCACACATACACACCGTCTACTCGTATGTCTATATCTCTTCTCTAGACCTCGGACAATCATTTCCAGTCAAGGTATCGACGACCAAAGCCAGATGAGCTCCGATGATGCCAGACTTACACACTCGCTGCATTCTTTGTTGCTCCATATGGACTCTGTCCACAATCAACCTCGCCCAACAGCTGTGCGCCCTCGTCTGCCTCCAATGGACAAGAAAGTCCTTCGACCAAACCCAAAATTCCCTGGATCTGGCGCTGGTACAATTGGCTCTCGCGTCTACCACCTCTCGCTCACAACTTTTGGCCTCATCAGTCTCATAGGCCCTTGTTTTCCGACCTTCAGCTGGCTGTCTCGCTAAGCTCGACCAAGTGCTCGCTACAAAGCCTTCCAGCGGTTGGCTCGCTACTGGGAATATTGGGGTCGAAAGCTTACTCGCAGCATGCCTCGTATTCGAGTGCTTGTGCCCGCTTCCAGTCGACTTATCCGAGGTGGCTTGGGTCGACTGCCGGTCTAGCCTCACTCCTATCCCAGCCGACGAGGGACACGATGCTCACGATGCTTATCTTTACCTTTTCAAAATATCCGCAGTAGGAATGAGCTTTTCATACGAGTATGATCACCACCCGTGTTGTACTTCTACCATCCGTATCCCTACCACCGAATCGGCTCGATCGTGAGAGGATAAAGACTGGAACGGAAACCGCATACTCTTCGCCACACCGGGATTCTTCTTTGTGAAAACATGAGCGTTCCGTATCATGGAGTCAGGAAGGTCATGGGGACAATGGTAGGTCAATAATTACGCACATATGGGCAACACGCAATCAGGTATTGTATGGATCGACCACGAAGTCAGTCCATTTGCTTTGTCGACTTGCGCTGGCCAGACCCTCGTATCATCGAATCAGCCTTACCCGATACATATCTAGAAGCGGCATACTGTTCAGCCCCAGGCTACTGGCCTTTTGAAGCTTGAAGTTGTTGGTTAGACCTTCGTATCAACGAGTCCGCCCAGGGCCACCGTCACGATGAAGTGCAATGAGTACACATCCTCAAATCCCCACCACATTCTCGCAGCGTAAGAAGATCCCAACACTCTTATCCCCGACTCCTCTTCCACTATCAATTTCCGTCTCCATGTTGTTCCTCTCTACTTTTCATATTCCTCTCCTTGTCCTCGGTTTGGTGTCAATTACTCTTGCATTAGTAGCACCTCGTGCAGTGGCGGATTGTCCCACGAACGGGTTTCAAAGCGGCCGAAAATGCATCCCATACGTCGAAAACAAAGACATGGCTGGCATAAAATTCAGCCTGTATACATGGACCGATCCAAAGGCTCCAGCATCTCCTGTTGCCGATCCCAAGTATCTTAAACCTCTCCAAAGCGCGGCAGCAAAGGTTCTCCCAGTCTATGCAGACCTCATGCAAACCAAGGTCAAGACAGTCAGAGTCTATCTCACAGAAGAAGATGGTACCAGGCGTGGAGCGACTGATTATCATGAATCGAACCCAACCATTTGCAGCGTTCGAGTCATTGGCTCTGGAGACGGACCGTCAAGCGACATCGAATCAGTTCAGCAAGCCCTAGCTCACGAGTTGTATCATTGCGTCCAAAGAACTTTCGATATGGAAAAGCCGGTCCAAGACGACTCACTTCCAAACAACTGGTGGTTCGAAGGGTCTGCAGAGTACTTTGGCAATTTCTTCTTCCCGGACACGAAACCAGACCACATGCAGAAATATGATCCAGCGTCACCACTCTACAACCAAAAGCATGACTTCGGCTATCCAGGCAGTCTCTTCTTTCAGCACCTCTCCAACATCTTCACCTCGAACAAGGAAATCCATGACTGGGTTGTTTCGCGCAGGGGCACGATCAGTAGTACACTTCAGAACGAGCGGCAGTGGCTTTCTTCAGACTCCTTCATTACCAAGCCGTTCCCCAGCTTTGCGACGGCGTTCAAGGATGATCTGATCTTGTACAGCGATGGTGAACCGGTCCCTCGTGACTTCAAAGTAAATTTGCATACAGCGGCATCCACTCTTTCAGATGAGCCGGGCGTCTACGACGCCGAGACCTATACATGTCCTTGGACCATTTGGGAAACACTGGACGTCGCGCTCCCTGAAAAACGGGACATCTCTTTCAAGTATACAGTGCCCAGCGGACAGGGCTCGAACGTGGTCCTGCAGTACTCCAAAGACGGGGAGAAGTCGTGGAAAACCGCCGGCAAAGGAGCAACTGTCAAAGTCGACTGTGGCAGCAAGAAGTACACCTTCCTCGCAACCTCGACCGGGAACGGCGATGTCAAGACCCCCGTTCCTGTGACAATCGAGTTCACGGTCAAGAAGAAGAAGAAGGGCTCCAATAAGCATAAAGCGAAACGTGATGAGACTGACGGCGATCCGTCTCCGAATGAAGGCCTGGAATACAATCCCCGACGGCTCCGAGCGGCTGACACACCGCCCCGTGAGATCATTGTCGTATCTCTCGACGACGACGATGGAGATGACGATGACGATGACGATGACGAAGGCGACAGCTGTTCGACTGACAAGTGCATTGTCGGGGACTGGAATCTCGATGTCCCGAGCATGCAAGCCTTTCTCTCGGAACAACTGTCGGCCTCGGACGTGGCGATCTCCAACGTCGCCGTGACGGGCTCCTCGAGTTTTAGTGTTAAGAAGGATCTCTCGAGCGCCATGACCTTCAAAGGCCTTGACATTGCCTACGACGGCAGCGCCAGCGGGTACGGCTTCCACACACTCATCGACATCACCGGCTCAGTGGACGGGACCTTGAAGCTCGGGAAGACCGCCGCTGGCGGCGACAGCTTCACGTGGACCAACGTAAAGTCGCAGGGTCTGGCCAAGACGACGACGACGATCGCAGGCTTCGACGATCCGACCGAACTCGACATCTCACTGGATCAGCAGTACGGCTCGGACACACAGGTCCACTATACCTGTACCGACAAAACGTTGCAAATGTCCGGCTACGTGGACTCGAAGTTTACGTGGGCGTATACGTGGACGAGGGAGACTGTGGAGTAAAAATGATAACTGTAACAAATCATATCAGGAAGCCTTTCTTCACCCGATATGTCCCATATTCGAAATGTATATATCATACATATATCCTACAATACTCGGTTAGTTTACTCGAATGTTTCCTGTTCTTTTTGTCCTTTTGTCCCTCTGCTCCGTCTGACCTTGTCTGCCTGCTTCACCTATGAGAAGACTTGACAGGACTTTTCTTTCTCTCCACAACAAAGGACTTACCCTATCTGTCTGTGTCTGTCTGTCTATCTATCTATCTACTCGTCGACCTATCTAGACGTGTCAAGACTTGTCTGTCTATCTGTCTCGAATATACCCGTAGAGTGTAAGTACATAGATGCTGGGACAGACGTATGCAACCAACCAAGGAATTACTCGATCAGTCACTCAATCAATGAACTTATTGATGGAGACGAGACGGATATATGACGGATGCGCATTCATCCTAAATCGCACTGATCGTACTGATCCTACCGTACTACTAGGTAGTTAAATCGGATCGAGTACCTACTTACCTAGTACGTAGCTGGCTAAGTGACCAGCCAGAACGCAAGACGGGCCATATACGCCCGTGAAGAAGAGGCTGGGGATGGAGAGTGAGTTCGTTGTCCTTCTTCCTCTCCCTCTTCATTTGCCGTCCCCTTTCCCTTTCCATTTCCTATCCCTGTCTTTGTCCTTGTCATCTTCCTTCTCGTCACAGTGGTCTTTGTCTCCTTACGCTGCATCCTCGTCACACGCGCCGGTTCGACCTCGATGAGATTCGGCAGCTGGTCTGGGCGACCTGGCGGCTCTGGCTGGTGAAGCGGGGGACGACATGGGCGCCGCCTCGCCTCAGGCGGCGGAGGTGGTCTTGGCGTCGGCTTGATCGTGTCTGGTCGGGGTTCCTCTTCAGACTCGCTCATTGCGCCATCGTGACCGCGGTGGCGTTCATAGGACCGCCATCGCTCGTAGTGGTATGGCAGGTGTTGCAGGTGTGCTTCGAGCCGTTCTTTCGCCGCGGCGGTGGCGGCCTCGCCGGCGGCTTTTAGTCTCTCGGGAGGGATGATGTAGTCGTCCGAGTCGTCCGATTCTGCATGTGGTCGAGGTGGCGGTGGAGGTGGTTGAGGAGGAGAAGGAGGCAGAGGATACTCTTGACTGCCGGGACGCAAGGGCAGCAGGACATAGTCGTCCGACTCAGCGGGACCAGCATCGCGTGCGGCGGGTGATGGTGATGGTGGAGGAGGAGGAGGATACTCTGAATATTCGGTTCGTCCACGGTATACCTTTTTCTTTTTCCGCTTCGCTCGTGCACGTTCCCGTTCCCATTCTTCCGCCTCTACTGCTCTGAGCCTGTCTCGCTCCCGTTCTTCCACCTCTTTGCGCTCTCTGTCCAGCCTCGCGGCCCTCATCCTACGCCGCTGGTCCGCGAGCTTGCGCCGCTTCGTAAACGTCTCCATTTTGGCCGGGTACAAAAAGTCCTCCTCCAAGACCTTGTCGGACGGCAGGAAGAACGGGTTGTGGTGCTGCTTCTCCTTGGCCGCCTTGTAAAAGGCCTTGGTGGCCTCGTCGAGATCGATCGTCGGCCCCTCGGGCAGACAGGTCCCTGGACAATATCCAAACAGGCAGACCGAATAGCGATCCAGCGGGAACCGCTGGCCCGTATCGGAGTCGTACCGGTACTCGGCCGGTTTACTAAAGTCGGTGAAGAACGGGAATGTCGGGCTCATGCCACGCAGTCGCGTGTTGATCTGGAAGTCAAAGTGCATCAGGAGCTCGCATTCGTCGTCGGTGAAGGGGATTTTGGCGTCTGAAGGGACCGGGACGATTCGCTCGACGGTGATTGGGATCGCGACGCTCTCGTAGATCTCGGGGACCCAGCTGTGCTGCTTGGATTCGACTTGGTAGTCCCAGTGCACGGATTCTTTGTACTCTCCCGAGTCCTTGGGGCAGGGGTGTTCTTTAGGAGTTACGCCGTCGGACACGACATGGACGGGATATGCGCTTGGGTCACCCAAACCTCGAACTGACAGCGAATATCAGCGCATGGCAAGGATGAGAGCAAGACAAGGCTCACACTTCTCCATAGATACGCCCTTGCGCCAACTTCGCATCTTCCGTGCCACAGTCAATTTGCGGTCCTTTTGCACGTGAACTTCGGGTGCAGGGATCGGTATAGTGCCTGCCATGCCTACACCAAGACCGGCACCGGTGGTCGTCGTCGTCTCATTGGAGATGTCGACGTCCACGGGCTCATCCCGTTCAGGATACCACAAATGGTGTTCCTTCTCCTTGTACAGATAGCGGATGGATATGGAATCGAAGAACTTGTTGTATTGCTGAGGACTGGGGCTGTCAGTAGCAAGCATGGTTGGAAACAACGGCGTTGAATCTCGACATACGCTTTTTCAAAGCCCAGAATCTCGACCTCGAGGGTGAAACTGGCCCTGAAGTGCAGATAGTCCCACTCCGGCTCGCTGTTTTCCTCCTCATCGTCGCTCTTTTTCTCGCTTGTTTGATCGTCCCAGTCCTTGTGACTCCGGGAAATGTAGATTGCGGGGTCTAGGATGCTGATCGAGGTGTTTTGCTTTGCCTGTGTCTGTCCAACCCGCTCCTCCAGGTCAATCTGTTGAACCCTGGATTTTGACATTGTCGACGCAGAACTGACATGACAGCATTTCCCCAGCCCATTATTTGTCTCTTTTGTCTTGTGCTTCAATGTCTGTCAAAAGTGCCAAATCAATCACGCCACGCCAAGTCTGCGAGTCGGTCATGATTCAAACTCGTATACGAGGCACTAAACTGCGTGAGGCAACAGTAGGCAGTACCAGCCAGCCTGATTACGACTTCTGGGAGAATCTGCTGAGAGGAAAGGAGCATCACGCGCCAAATATTTTTCGCCGGTTGCTGCGGTTTCGGTCTCCATGGGATCAGGCTCTCGGTGTAGACCGAAAAAGTTGCATTGCGACGGGCAAGCAGCACGAACGCCAAGGACAGCCTGATGCGATTCTGTTGGATTAGAGCGCCTAGCTTTCAAGATCGGGGGAGCTGCTGGTGACAGTCGCGGCGGTGGGAAGTGGAGGTAAATCGTAGGGCGTAGTTGACGAGTCAATATAAAACAAAGCATATAATATTGCGGCTTGACAGAGTCGGGGGGGAACAAGAAAAGGGAGGAAATGAGAAGATATCAGAAACTAAAAACTGACGCATTTCCTCATCGCAAGACTTGAATAAATCTGCGACGGTCAGTCACATAGACACTCGATGGAGGACAATGAGCTCCACGTACCATAGCTTCTATGGCTGTATATCTGGATGATCCATGAGTCCCGTGTCTGGGTCGTGAAAAGGGCTTCTTTTGGTCATATCCAGGCCTTTTCTTCTTAGCCTGAAACATCTTCATCTCATCCATTTGCTCTTTTCATTTCACATCATGACACCTAGCAACATGAGAGACAGTCGCCACTTGGCTTCCTGTTTTTCTTTCACCTTTTTTCCCCTCTCTTTACTGTCTGTCTTTACTCCTCCCCTCCTGCACCACCCGACAATCCACTTCCACCAACCTGCTTCGCGCTCTTCGCGCCGCAGATGTCGTCAACTCTCAATAGTAAGCACGCGCTTTCGACCGCCGTCTTGATGCTCTGCAGCTTGACCGCCTGGGGTTCCCACACGCCATATTCTTTCATGTCCACCACATTACCCGTATCACCATCGACGCCAAAGGTTGACTTGCCCTCGGCTTGTTTCGCACGGAGCTGGGTCAAGATTCGGATGGGGCTGGCACCGGCATTCTGGATGAGTGTTCGGGGAATGACTTCCATGGCGTCTGCTACAGCGCGGTAAGGCCATTGCATCACGCCTTCGATAGACTTGGCCTTCTGAGCCAGCCGCACGGAGACGGCCATCTCGGTGGCTCCTCCGCCAGGCGAGAGGCGTGGGTGGAACATGACGTTGCGAGCCACGGACATGGCGTCCTGGAGATTTCGTTCAATCTCGTTGAGAATGTCCTTTGAAGGTCCCCGGAGCAGGATGGTGCAGGCCTTGGGGTTCTTGCATTTCGTGAGGAATGTGAAATACTCATCACCGATCTTTTCAATCTCGAATAGACCGCAGCCCGTACCCACGTCGGACTCGACAATGTCGTCGACGCGATTCACAATGGTCGCTCCTACGGCCCGAGCAATGCGGTTATTGTCCGTCTTCCGCACTCTTCGCAGTGCCGTGACATTAGCCTTTTGGAAGTAATGTTGAGCCAGATCAGACACGCCCTTCTCGGTGATGACCAAATCAGGCTTGACCGACAATACCGCATCACACATCTTCTTGACCTGTTCCTCTTCAATCTGAAGAATCTTATTCCACGAGTCCTCATCGGTGATCTCGATGTTGGTCTGGGACTCGCCCTTTTTGTATTCAAGAGGACAGTCCAATAGCACGATCCGAGGGTTCTCTATCCGTCGGCGCATCGAGGCGTGTGTGATGTCCTTATTCAACATGACTCCGTCCAACACTCTCGAGTCCTCGATTTCGCCCCCGGGAATCTTCTCTACTCGGGCGTATCGCTTGATATCGATCTCCACGGGTTTCGTAGGGGCGGGCGTAGGAGCCGATTTCGTGGTCCCGTTGGCTTGGGGCGCATTCGAAATGGACGTCTGGTCCTGAGATACAGTCCGGACGGCGTTGAGAGCAAGTGAGCACATGAGTTCTGAGTATCGGGAGATGGTCTTGGTGCCGATGGAGGATTCAATAAGCGAGATCATGGCCTTGTCGCTCGAGGTGTCGACGGGGATGGAGATCTCTTCGACAATAGCCAGTGCGTCCATGAGGGCCTTTTTGAAAGCCTGGATAATCACCACGGGATGGATATTCCGTTCGAGTTGAGGTAGTGCTTGCGCAAGGATCTCGCCCGCTGTCAAAATATTCCGTCAGTTTTACCCGTTGACCTTCCAATGTGACAAGAAGTTTTAATACCTAATATGATCACCGTCGTTGTCCCGTCACCGACCTCCTCATCCTGC